GGGTGGGCATTAAGTCGATCGGGGTCAACTGGTGGACCACTAAGACATTTTGGAGTGACCGCCTGAAGATTATCATTTAGTAAATATATACCGAAATATCCTAGATTGTCTGAGAGTATACAGATTAAGTCTTCTAGTGACTATAACTATGAGCACTAACTTTAGATGAAAATGTTTTATTTTTTTTAATGCATTTTGAACTGTTTCGTAAGAAATGCATTACATTTGATATTTTTATATTTATGGCTATTATTATTACAATTGTATCTTGTGCGTTTTGTTTTAAACTTGGTCTTAAAAGTGTAAGCTTATTTTATTATCGCTATGTAGGTAAGTCTATATTCCGTATTTATTAAGCTTTTTTTCACTCATCACACCTACGACACTGGGCAGTGGTGCACACAAGAATTTTTCAAGGGGGGGGGGGGCTGGGTCGAATGTCCACCACTCTCGTATCATAACACAATTTGCAACAATTATTTTTATGATTTTGTAGACTGTCGGGAATAAAAAACAGTAAAAAATAAATTATTGCATAAATAATTAGCATTGATTAATAAAAAAAAATATTAATGACAAATGCTTAGTTAAATTTTACGTACTATATGCATAGGATTATAATCAATCAGAGAAAAAAATCAAGGGCTATGGGGGGAGGTTTGCTTAGTTTGAGAACATCTCTTCTGGTTTAAATTATTTGAATTATTTTGATAAATTGTGTGTTCAATAAATAGTTTGAACATTCAAATGACTAGTCACCCTTCCCTTCCTCCCACAGCTCTAGGCGGGAATGAGAGAACACGCATCTCAGTCCTTACAGCCTTTCGCATCATGATAACTGTAACTGACAGAAGTGCTTCCTAGAGACTACTGACCCTCAGGGGGCCCACCTTCTTTAGGTGAGTACGGGTGTCACAATCCCGAGGTGCCCTAGTGATCTTTTCCTTTTCCCACGGGGCTTACTGTCTTTGGTAAACACGGGCTTCACGAACCCGGGGTACCCTAGTGATCCTTCTCTATTTTCGACCCTCTTTCTTGTCATTCAATTCATTCTTTCTTTCTCTTCCCGTCTAGACCACAGGTATTAAAACAAATGTTTGGCGCAGTACAGCCGAAATCGGCTCTTGCGCCAATATACCCCAAAATCACTCACCCCTAGAGACTACTGAAATTTTGTACAGGCCAGTTGAGGAAAGGATGCAATTGCTATTAAAAGAATGTCCATGTTCTTCGCCCATTATTTTTGTTGACGATATGTATTTTCTTTGTATAACTTAATCTAAATTGATAAATAACTGTCTCAAAAAAGAGGACTTCATCGAACCCAACCTCGAATTTACTACGTTTAGTGTAATCTTTAACGTCTAACCCTCTACAGTATTACTGTTTCTCTATTTTTCTCCGAAATTAATTCTCCAGATTAAAATACAGTGCCTCATTTTAAAATAATTTAAGGCTCATTTCACACGAAAAGCCTCAAAGCCAGTTTAGGTATCGCTTTCGTCATTTGACTGTGGTTCAAAATTACGAGGGATGTTATTGAATCGATCAAATCGAAACCAACGACTACATTGTGACTCTAAACTCTACATTTTTCGTCACACAGCTGGCGGCTTTTTTTGTGGATGGGATAACAACGTTCCTTGCACACGTGCACCCCTAAATATTGTGGGGTCTCGTCATCTGACATCACCCCCGCAACCTATGACCGTGAGAAAACCCAACGGCTGAACACCTGCGAGCTGGAACCTCCAAGTTGTTGTTCGAGGTGTCAGAAAGAACCGCCACAATCCTTAAACCATGGAGTAAAAAGGAGTTTCCGTGAAAAACATCGAAGAGAACGGTTGTGTTGCCTCCTCCCTCACAAATAGCATATTCTGAATACTAATGAAATACTCAATGTTATGAATAACTTCAATGTAAACGTGTATACTGCTATTTATTGCTGTGACGTAAGTAAACCAAATATTTAATTTCCCAGCTCTCACGCTACCATTAATTTTCTCAAACTTGACAACATTGATACAGAAGATTTGTTTTCTTAATGTGGAAAAATATGTTTTTTTAATACATCTAGCAGTTTTTGAAATTTTGAAAATTTTTAAAAAAATATTTATGGAATTTCTCAATTGCAAACATTTGCATAAATTACCAAAAAAAAAAAGATAATGTTGCCCCAATAGTGGAGGCACTAAATAAAATCTGTTACGCCAACAAATTTTAAATGCCTCGTAACGATATTAGACGCCATAGTGGACTGAAAAACACATTTTCCAGTAAGTTATGATAGAAGCTGACAGAGCTTTATATTACCAATTCTCATAATCTCCCACAGATATCAAGCCATTTCTCGTCATAACTTAATGGTGTTTTTTTTTAAGAAAATGAAAATTTTCAATAATTCAAATTTTATTTTGAACAATATCTTGGATTTCAGAACTGAAATTGACTTTTTTAGAAATGTGCACAAAATATAACGCTTTCACAATTAGAATATCTCGTCTTTAATGCAGTTCCCAGATGGCTGTCTGGTAGCAGCAGTTGCTGGCGGAAGAGGTAAACGCATTTGGCTGCTTTTCGCCAACTAGAAAAGTAAATTCTTTACGAGGCGAATAATGCGTTTCCATAAAATATGATATCTGCTCAGAAGGATTTGGTACAAAAATATATTCAATTTCAGAAGAAACTGCTGAGAAAATGTATTTTTATTTTTTCAGCCTTTTAAGGTATCCGTCTACCCTAAAATTGTGAATTTTGCCAAAAATTGACAAATTTTTTTTTATAATTTAATTTTATACGCCACCTTATTAGCTTTTAAAAATACCGAGTTTATTATTTTCCGTTCACTAGAACAAAAACTGCAAGTGTTTCAGTAAAAGCAGATGCCATTACTTAAAGTAAGATGTCATACTTTAAAACGCGTTTTAATCGAAATGTGCTTTTTTTTTAAAATGCTCAAACGGGACCAGTGATTGCTCAAAAAGTTTTGAAAATAATGAGCTGAAATTTTTTTGTGTATGTTCTGTATAATAGTAAAAGTGTTTTAACCTTCAGATGTATCAATCACTGTTTTAATACAAAATTTACAGTCTCTTATGTGAATATAATCACTGTTTGTTTAAGCAATTTCATATAATAATTAAGATAAAGTGCTCTAATTTTTGTAAAAATTAAAATATCTCGTATCCTGAAGATCATTTCAAAAATAAATAACATAGCAACACAAAAGAAATGAAAAATTTAAAATTTGTTCATAAACTTTTGGTACAGAAAGGGCCACGTTTAGGTTATTTTTTGTAAATTTTTACCCATTTTTCCCATTTTAGTAGTGATAATTTTTTAAAAATTTTAGCATATTTTTCCTAAAATGTGCTAACCAAATCCAAAAACAACAAAAAATCCCCATATCTGGATTTTTTTTTTTTTTGAAAAAAAAGTTGCCGCAAGTAGTCGAAACCCTTAATGCAGTGATTTCTAGTTTTTTGCCACTGGGGGCCATTTTTGTGCAAGACAATTTTTCTATGAACCCTAGAAGTACATTTTTCGGTATGATTTGATAGAATCCGCGTGAGTTGTGCATTTATTATTTTATTGAAATATACAGGGTGTCCCAAAAATAGCGCCTAAACTATTCACAGCCACACTCCTCGTAGGGAGTAAAAAAAAAGCCTAAGAATTGTACCGGAAAGATCCATAGTTTAAAAGAAAAATACGAAAATCAAAGTGTACCTGTGGAAGGAAAAAAACACCACATTAGACACATCAACCACAGAATTTGCAAATATTTAGAAAAGGTAGATGTTCAAAGTATCCGCCGTGAATATCAAGACAAGCCAAGCTCGCCATGGAATGGATGAGAGCACACGTCTATAGCAGCATGGTGTCCATCGAAGTACAAGCAACAGGCAGACTACTAAGTTCGTTTGTGTTGTCACTACTTCGCGATACACCAATTCCTTGAGATTGCACCGTAGGAAAAAAATCCAATGGTGTGAGATCTAGCGATGGTGGTGGCCATAAAATCAGAGACCCAAAACCGATCCGGCTGCCATATCCAGCCAATCACGTAAAAGAGCACAGAAATGCGCCAGAGCCCCATCATGCACTATTATGTGGAAGGAGAAGATAGTTGGGAGGTCCCTGACCACTCCCAGTGTGTTCTCCCTAAAAATTGGGGTGGAACCGAGCCAAATCATACTGTCACCTGCATGGTGCTCAAAGCTACGGCTAACGACAGGATACAATATAGCCCGATGCCATGATGAATTTCACGGGCCTCGATCTGACTGCGTCAGACAGGTGGTATTAGAAATAACAACAACTAACTAAAGTATTTGAATGATAATAGAGGGCATTTTTCTATTCCTAATATTACTTCACTTTCTCTCTGTAATATATATATATGTAATACGACGATGTTGTTGGAATGGATTCTTTATATGAGATTGATAAAGCAGTACGGGGTGATTGAATAAAACTTGTTTATTATCCATCTTGAACACATAAGACATTACAAGGACGACACAGTACACGCACACACAAACACACTGCAGCCGGCTACATGTTTACGCAGACAAAATACAGAAGCGAAAGAGAGTTGGTCTCCAGGAATCTCGGTATTTATAGGCTTCTCAAATCACATGATCTGAGTGGGTGGCTAGAGGTAGTTTAAAATACTCTCGTTAGGCGGCGGGTTAACTTATTACTGAAACGTTGGTCCTGAAGGGATGGACCATTGGTAGTTAAAAGTTATTTTAAGGGATTATATTACTGGGAATTATTACATATATATATAGAATTTTCAATTGTTAATAAAATACTTTCTATTCATCCACATTAAATTTCAAATACATTTTTTAAACTTGTAGTGGATGCCACTTGATATTAATACAGTTTTTCAAATATTAATTCATTAATTAAATTAAAAAAATGAATAAATAGTAACAAAAAAAAATAATAGTCCAGCAGCATATGTAGAAAGAAAAAGCATCGTTCACCGTTTTCCTGCAGCGCAATGGATTGCGCGTTGGACTTCTAATACAAAGGTCGTGGGTTTGATTCCCATCTGGGATGGCCTAATTTGTGAGAATGTGATTTCTTTTTTCAATATTATTTTATTAGAATAATTAAATTAATAAATAAATAGTAACAAACCAAACAAAAATAGTCCAACACCACATATAGAAAGGAAAATGGAAAATAGCAAGGAAAATCGCTTTGTATTTTTTCACTTAATAGTGGGATTCTGTCATATGTATATACATATTTATATTAATTGTAATTTAATAAAAAGTAACTAAAATAAATTTTTCTTTTTTGACCTAAGCAAGAATTGACTTAATTTGTTTTATATTACTTGTTTTGTATTCGAACGAGATTTGTATGAAAAAAAAGCTATTAATAAGGTCAACATAAACATATTTTTTTTCTTCTGTTTCTAGTCACATTTGAGGAATGTCTTCTTAGTGTTATTAAAACTTTAATTAAATTTTATTCCAGTAAATTTGTGTAACGTAGCTTTCATTGCAATATAACGCAAAGAGAATAATCTTATTTCATTTCTTTCGCCTTATCAAATAAGGAAAAAAATCAAGAGACCGGATAGTTGTGAAGCAGATACTGGTTGAGTAATTTCTTTCCATCTTTTCGTCGTAATTTTCACCTAGTTTCTAGACGTTTCGAGGATACAGTTATATTAAAAAATTAATAAAAATAAAGGAAAAAAATGAACGAAAAGAATTTGTAGTAAAAAGGATTCATAAAAAGAAAAACACGAATCTCTTTCTTTTATTAAAAGAGATGGAAGAAATCAGAGTATATAAAAATTTTCTTTCAAGAAAAAACCTATTGGAAAACGATATCTTCTTGACGATAAAAAAAAGTTTTCTTTGAATTAAACTAATTAGAGTGTAAAAAATCCTCGCCTGTGAAACGTAAATATTGAACTTACGGTGAAAGCAAATTTTAAATGGATTTTGAATTAAAGAAACGAAGGTAAAAAAGTACGGAGACATAAAAACAAATGAAATAGCTCTTTCGTTATTGATTCATTATTGATTTCAATTATAAAAAAATGAAAAAGTGGTTAAAGATATAAACGGTTCAGAAAAATAGCCTTTATCGTTATGTAAGAAGTATTTATTATCAGATAAGAAGTACGGATAAGAATAAATTAATGAAAATGATATTGAATTATAAAATGTGGGTACATTTGAAAATATTTTAATCTTTTTTTATCTCTTTCAATACACATACAGTAAAAATCGTTTAAGGTATCGGACTACCCTAAAACTGTGAATTTTTGCCAAAAATTGCCAAATTTTTTTATGATTTTATTTTATGGGCCCTCTTATTAGCTTTATAAAAATACCGTTTATCATTTTCTATTTACTAGAACAAAAACTACAAGTGTTTTAGTAAAAGCAGATGTCCTTACTTTAAGCAAGATGTCATACATTAAAACGCGTTTTACTCGAAATGCGATTTTTTGAAAATAATCAAACGGGGGTCAGCGATTGCTAAAAAAGTTTTTAGATAATTAACTGAAATTTTTTCTGTAAGTTCTGTATAATAGTAGAATTGTTTTACCCTTCAGATTTATCAATCACTGTTTTATTACAAAATTTACAGTCCCTTATGTGAATATAATCACTGTCTTTTAAAGCATTTTCATGTAGTAACCGAGATAAAGTGCTCTAGTTTTTGTAAAAAAAGAAAACATATCTTATCCTGAAGGTCATTTCAAAATTGAATAATATAGCAACACATTAGATTGAAAAAATTGAAAATTTGTTCATGAACCTTTGGTGCAGAATGGGCCGCGTTTATGCTATTTTTTGTCAATTTTTACCTATTTTTTTCCCATTTTAGTAATAATAATTTCTTTTTCTCTTCTTAGTTTTAGCACATTTTTCTTAAAATGCACTAAACAAATCTAAAAATAACAAAAAAATCCCCATATCGCCGTGTCGCAACCAGTCGGATACCTTAACACGAAACTGAAGGGACTGAAATATTTTTGCGTGTTAAAGATTATTGTAAGAAAAAAAAAAGCATAAAGGGTTATCAGGAATGCATTACCCGATTACAAAATTTAATAATTCCCAGATGAAATAAACGAAAAACGATAATTAACATGTCATTGTAAAGATAAAATATGTGAAATATTTTTTATACATAACGTTTCTTGACGTAAAATAAAATTTGTTTTTTACAAATGTTCAATGTGTGACTTCTTTTGTCAACCGTATAATATCCTTGCGAACCTGGTCTCCCTGGACTTTTTCTTTACACAGGCATCCAGTTTCCTGGAACAGTTTATACCATATTTTTATACTCTTAGATGTCGGTGCATTTCTATGGTACTTTCTCCGAAATTCACGCTGAAACATGATTACTGACGGACTTTTTGCAAACGGGAGCACACAAAATGCTCCCCCCCCCACTGCGAGCTATTTCCACTTCTGTTCACAATTCCAACATCGCTGCTACATATTTGACAAAAGCAATGCTACAAATTCAAAATTTCATATTTTATCTTTAAAATGACATATTAATCATCTTTTTCTATTTATTCTTCTCGGAATTATTAAATTTTATAATCGGGTCATTTCTGATTACCCTGTATATTCAACAAAAATTAAGTTTGTTAGAGTACACTTTATTTACATGGATGTGTATGTACGCACGCATTTAATAAAAGTCAAAGAAACAAAAACATTCGCAAGAACAATACAAAATACAATTTAATACGAAATTTTCAAGTGTTTTGAAAAACAAAACATTTATTGAGTTTTTGGAAAATAATCTGATATTTTTCTTTGCATTGTCTTTGTCTAGCAACAAATTGTCAATAAATTTTTCGATGTCCTCCATTTTTATTCAATTCCTACTATTAGCTCACTCTCTCCCTATATATATATATATATATATATATATATATATATATTGTTCAAATTTTCAATCGCTAATAAAATACTTTCTATTCATCCAATCAAGTTCAAATAAATTTTTTAAAACTTGTAATGGATGACACTTGATGTTAATGCAGTTTTTCAAATATTAATTCATTAATTAAATTGAATTTAACTATTTACGTGTTTTAGACTACAACTTAAATTTGTTTCCATTGTTGTAACAATGGAACTGTTAAAACAATGACAAATGTTGGCGTCAAAAACCGGGTTTTCAGCCACACTAGCCAAACCGGGTGTACATTGTTACAATGCACACAAACCATTCTCTTTTTTCTTCTCCTACTATTAGTTCATACTCTCGCTATATATATATATTATCCTGTTATCCTATATATATATTATCCCTATTCCTCCTCTACTTCAACGAATTCTTCCGAAGACGCAGGGGGACAGTTCAGTAACTCAGAAAATTTCTCAAACATTTCATTAATTGTCTGTTGGTGTTCCGCATTTTGTTCATTTCTAGAAAGGAAATGTTTTTGTGTTAAGTGATTTTCGTTTCATGTTAAAAGAAAAAAGCGTGATTATACATAGTGGTTAGTCTGGATCGTTGTATTATTTCATGTTAACCGATATTTCGTTATAAGCGTTTTCGCGTTAAACCTTCCACTGTAATTCTACTTTAAACATGTGCCTGGGGTAGCCTTGTAGTGATGGTTACAGATTCGTGGCCGGCGTGACATGAGTTCCCGCCATGTAGAGAGGCCACGTTAAATCCATCAAGGCTCAAAGTCCTCTCGTTGGTGTGTAACTTTGGAGAGGAGATTCCAGCTCAAAGGTCATGCTCGTCACTTGACCGAGGTTCAAAATGACGTCGCTAATAGCTGTCATGTTGTTGTTTCTAATGCTACCAATCTGACGATATCAGATTGAGGCCCATGAAATTAGTCGTGGCAAGGGGTTAGTAATTTCTGCCTGAAGTTAGCCGTAGCTTTGGGCACCATGCAAGTGAGAATATGCTTTGACTTTTTTCTACCCAAGTTTTGTAGAACACCTTGGGAGTGGTCAGAAGCCTCTCATCTCTCATCCCTTCCAACAACCTAACGAAATGACTTGCGGCTCGATGGTTATTTAGAGTAGCTCCATTTGTCGCAAAAGTACTATGCATTTACAAACATTCATGGTTTGTCCGGGATTCGAACCTGGGGCCTAACGGTTGTCTCATGTTGCTTTGCAGTTAATAAACTCTCGCTTATTCACTCTCACTCGAACACTCACACAAAATACGAAGAAAATGCAATATAGTACTTTAAATCAGCTCTCTAAACCTGCCAAGGCTCAATATCTTCCGATTGATGTGGTATGGTAGTTAAGAGAGGGAGGTGGCCAGTTCAGGTTTCGTATTCGTCACTTGACCGAATTTCAAAATTACTAGGTCCGTCGCCAGTAGCCATCGTGTTGCTCTTTTGTAAGACGTTGATATAACTCTCCCTCCTCAAAACGGCCCCCTGTTGTCTCATCATACAGAGTACCTACAAATTAGTTGGTCAAAAAGAATGATTTATTGCATGTAATTTACAGGGGAAATTACATAGTGTGAGGGAAGCTCTTTCTCTTCTCTCAAAGTGGGAAGGAAGACTAGCCATATATCAAAACAATATCAATACATTTACAATACAAACCTCAAGACAAGTTCGATCCACCAAAGTTAAGAGATGCACCCAATTAGTAAATATGAAAACAATTAATGAGGTATGCGAGTATGAAAAGACTTTAAATACTTAGTACACTTACTTAATTCAATAGATCTGACTTCTTAGCTATCTAATCTAGATTCAATCTCAAGTGACAGATCGTCACCTTAAGTAATTCAATTATCAATTACTAAATATCGCTCTTCGCATTCAATTTGATTAATCACAGCTCCGCTAGCTGTCTATCCTATCCCTCTTTTCTCTAACCTGAAAGCCTAGACTTTATATACTACAGTTCAGTTGAACGTCGTTTATCCGAATGTTTATTATCCGGATCGTCAAATATCCGAACCAAAGTCCGGATACGTTTTCGAACAATGCAATGCTCAACAGTTGTTTCCTGTGAGGCCTAAAGTGACGGAAAAACCCAAGGTGAGGGATATTTGGGGAATTTCAGTTGTGT